AGTTGATTGGTTGATTGATTGATTAGTCGATTTATTGAATAATTAGTCAATTGATTGATTGTTTGATTAGTCAATTGATTGATTGGTTGATTGATTGATTAGTCAATTGATTGATTGATTAGTCAATTGATTAATTAATTAAATTAATTAGTCAATTGATTGATTGGTTGATTAGTCAATTGATTGATTGATTGATTAGTCAATATTGGTTGATTGTCAGATTAGTCTGTTGATTTATTTGATTGATTGATTAGTCAATTGATTGATTGATTAGTTGATTGATTTATTGTTTGATTGATTGATTGATTGATTAGTTAGTTGATTGATTGGTTGATTGACTAATCAATTGGTAGATTGATTGATTAGTCAATTGATTGATGGATTGATTAGTCAATTGTTTGAAAGTCTCTTGAATGGTTAATCTTGCTTGTTTTGTTTTGCAGGATGCAGAAACTATAGAACAAAACTTGGCATTCTGGGGAGCTAAATCAGTCACAAAATATATAAAATGCAATAATTTGTCTGTGAACGGATTCTAAAGTTGGTAAATAATTGAATGGTGAAATATTCCATCATTTCAGTGTTGCGTCTTTGAGTTATGAAGGCTCAATATTACAATATGCTAATGGAAATGACATCGTTGGATGTTTCATCAGATATACGAACTCTGAAGTAGTTGGCTGCTTAAAAGTCACAGTTTCATGACATTAAATTTATTGTAGGCAATATTTCCAGATATAGCTATGAAAACATTTTTGAGTGACTGTTTCAAAGTTTGTATATCTGATGAAGCCTTCCTTGTCGTCATTACCATTAGCAAGTTGTAAGATTGAACCTTCAAAACTCAAAGATGCAACACAGTGAAATGAAAAAAATATTTCACTATTCAATTGTTCACTTGATAAAGAATCAACTCACAGAGAATCAGCAATAGAGTATTGTACAAAAACTAAAAGCGCGCAACACTTTTTTTAACACTTTAAACAATAGAAAACAATAGAATTAGCATAATTTACCAAGCTTTTAGTGGTATTTATGTTGCAAAGTTTTAGTGTTTGTACTCTAATGGTAATGGAAAATTAATTTAGGTTAATGTCTAAATCGAAAACTTATAATTTAGTTGGGAAAATAGAAGTCATTAAAACAAACTTAGTTAATACTTATCTTTACCTAATTTTCCAATGAATACAGAATGAGGAAATAAAGGTATACCATAAGACATTGTATTATTTTATGTTTAAATTTTTAAGAATACTTTTTGCAAATTAGCTGCTTTAATACAGTAGTGATAAAGAGGATATTACATGGTCATGCAGAGATAAGGATTTTATCTTGAGTGTTCCATTGATATCTCAAGAGTAAGCAAGATTTCCTGGTATTTTATTGAATTTTATATGATCATGATGGAACAATTGTGATTGGCTAGAAAAAACAATTGCTAATTTTTGATTGGTCAATTAAAAATGATGTCAAACACAGATAAGTGCCTGGAAATTCATAACTTTCTAAACAAAAGTTTCTTTAGCTTTTATTCACTGACATTTTTAAAAGCTTCTCAACTTGAAAGAAACATAAAAAACCTCTCAAACTTAAATGCAGGGCTGTCAACCCCAGACAATTATATTACATCAATGTTGATTTAAATCTGCTATTTTGTTAAGATTTTWCAAGCCCCTAAAAATGGCTGCAGACTACCTGTAATTTGGAAATTCATGCACAAATCAGGTCCCATTTTTGGTGAATATATTTAAAAAACTTAGTGTTTTGCCTTTTTCTCCAAAAAACAAAAAAACATTGCAATTTTGAGAACGTAACACAATTAAATTTTAAGACTTTGGATTTTTATGCAGGAGAGTTGACAGCTCTGAAAGGGTGGTGATGATCTTTAAATAATCAAATGTAATTTGTTGATTCATTTATTTATACTGTTGAAGCTGAGCTTAAATGTATGTGTGCAATGATTTTATTACTTGATAAGAAATTATAGTGCAGCGATGTAGTTTTAATTATATATTATACCAAATTCTTCACTCAAAATAAAGTACTGTCTTGGAAAATGGTTATTTCTCATTATTTGCCCATTTTCCCCTTCATGATTTCTTTCTTTGACAACCAATTTATAAACAACTCGTACTCTAAAGGATGACATCATATTCTATATTTAGAATGAACTAGAACTTATAGATCTTTCCAGATTATGCTAGAAAATTCTTAAAACCACACATTTTTATATATATATTTTAAATTTCATATCTGTTTCTTTTTGTTTTTATAACAAAACATCTTCGAAATTTAGGAGAATTTTAGATTTATATTTGAAAATTAAGAATTTGATCATTGTTACAAATGATTCCTGACTCTACCCGTGTTAGTCACCTCATATACACAATGATTTGACAAGCGTTAAATGTTGGTGTAAAAATCTGTTACTTCGTAGAAAGCATTATGAAATAATTGTATCGCAATGACGACACGATCGTACTTAATTTATATAAAATAGTTAATATCATAAAAGAAAATCTCAAAAAGACGAGATCAAAAGATTATAACTGAGTGGAATTCTGACTGTTGGATGAATCACGCCTAAAATTAGATGTATTCCATCATTGTTTTCAACAACCTAAAAACGAACTCAAAACAATTCAAAATTCACGAGTAATGCCAAAAGAATTCTTCTTCTGTTCTTCACAGAGGCAGAAATGACAATTCTTTTCAGTTATTTTCAATGGCGCGAAAATGGCGCCAAAGAGTCAGCGCTGGAAACCCATGACGATATTTTTGGTGACGTGTCAACTTGCGTTACATGTCTGTCACGTAACAAGCCATGTGCTTTTGACATGTCGCTGGAATGACGAAGCAAATTTTTCGTAGCTATTTGCGCCAAAATATCAAAATATAGGCTATAATTTGTTAAAGATTTTTATTTGTAGGTTCCAGATGCTTCATTTATGAGTTAACGTAGCAGAATTAGCAAGAAATAACGAAATTAACACAAACAAACAAGCACTGAACTCCGTACATTTAGGTATGCAAATTCATACGTCATGCAACGCTTTGCACAACAATGGTGCAACAATACACAATGTAAACTCCACAAGTACTTACTAAACAACCAATACACCTGGCCGTCGCTACAAATAACTTAAAATCTACTAAATACCAAACAAAAAATCTCAAAACTGCACGAAAAATGCAATATTTCGTGTGTTCTTTACAAAGTGTCTCGTTGGGGGAATCCCCGATGACGTCATCTTGCTCAGGGCAGCCCGCCGATCTGCTCGCTGATTGGCTGTTTGATACTATTTTTAGACTTCTTGTCAGCATATAAAAAGCGCCAGTGGTGCAATTTCGATTTCAAATTTCAAAGCGACAAGTGGATCAGTCATTTGACGGCTGACATTGGACGAGGCAGGTCGTGTTTTGATCGCTCTCGGAAAAAAAAACGCCGGATCAACGTATAAACTACTCTTATCAATCTAGAAATATGGAAGATATAAAAACTGAGGACATCGCTGCAAGAATTCAACTTGAACAGCTGAGAATAATGGCTGACAACTGGGAATCGATGGATGACTTCGGAAACGGTGAAGCTTTGCAAAGCGTTCCTGAACAAGACCCACCAATGCCATTTTTGCATGGATCTAGTAATATGATCGGGTATCCAACCCTTGGATCTTCACCAAACTGGATGAATCTGTGTCACATAAATGAACTTTCAACTGCTCCGGCCATCAGTGAAGCGAGCAGTCCGTATGTGTCATCTGAATTGAGTCCAGCACCGTCTTCAGTGGAGTCTTTTGCTTTCACAGACTACGAAAATTACGGACCTCTGGACATGGCCAACCATTCTGATGAAAGTGTTGAGAATTTCAGGAAAATTATTACCCGACTTGGCGTGACAGAGAAAAAAATCCAAGATTTTGGGGTGAAAGAACTCAACAGGTTTTTAAAATCCAATGGATTAACAAAAGAAGAGCAGAAGTGCTTGAAAAACCGACGAAGAACTTTGAAGAACAGGGGATATGCCCAAAATTGCAGAATTAAAAGAATTCGAGTCAAGAAATCCCTCGAAACGGAAAATGAAGATCTGCGAAAAGAGATTGATGACCTGAAATCAAGCTTGGATAGAGCAAAGAAGGAAAGGGATGCGTATAAACGACGTCTAGAAGATATCATCAAGTTTTTCAAAGACCACAAGAAGAGCAAAGTGGTTTAAATTGTACGAAAGTGAAATTCAATGACTTACTGAGGAGTATAAAAATACTATGACCGTCTCGTAAACGAAAACGTTCGACTCACAGCGGCTTCATAAGCTGAATCTACGCTTTAATCGTCACCAAGGGACTCAATGATCATTTCATTGTTGTAGTTATGAGCTTTTTCCTGTAAATTAGTTTATAGACAACATTGCTGAAATGTACACTGTCGCGCCAATCGAACGTTTGATCGACGTTCACTGAACGTAAAATTGTGTGACACAACACGCTCGGGCATGCTTGTCAAAACAATTGGCTAATTTGCATATTGCCCTCGAGACTAAAAATTACTGTAATCATTTGAGCACTCGTTTTTGAAAAAATACAAGAACAAAATCAAACAAAAAAACGAAAATTCAATTTTTACAAAAATTTCGAATAAAAACTACGAAATTTTGAAAAGAACAAAAATATTGAAGTTCTTTCTTTTTAATTGACCTTCATATATTCTTATCAAAAAGGTCACTTCATAGTTTATATGACCACAAAAACATTCATTTTTCTCAAAAAGAAAAAAAATAACAACACATTTGTAAAATAGTTTTAAGTATAGCAAACCAGTTATTTAACTCTAACGCGATTATAGTAAAAAGATTGTTGTAAATATACACCATGTTTATGTAATTATTGTTTGTCACATTCACTAAATTAAACTCATTAGATATTGTACACGTGTTGGTCTCTATTTAATACATCCAAATATGGTCAATTTTTGAAACTCTGAAATAGTTCTTTTATTGAAACGTGACTCATGAAAATAATTTATACGTGTCCAAGTTGTAGCGTTGTCTAGAGGTTGTTTTCCAAAACCATGAGCCAATGCACTAYTAYTGGGTGAGAAAGTGTAATAGTCAAATTATACAAGGGRAAAAMAAATCGTGATAAACCATTTTTCACAAAATGTATAAATTTTACGGCTTAATGAAAATCACTTCATTTACTGACAGACTGACAATGGAATCGGGAACAATGCAAACTGAATATCAGTTTTAAACGTTTTATAGATTGTTWTATTCCGACATAGCTTTGTGCCTTCGCGAAAAGGTTGAAATGCGCTAAAACACTTGCCTTAAGAATGCATGATCAAGTGGTTTTCCAAAGAACGTTTGTAACAGTGCCGGGGATTCCCCTACGAAATATATTGCGATGCACCCGTGATTTTCAGCTGTTTTGTATGACTAACACAAACAAGACGCAAAAAATCTGGGAAATTTACCCGATTATTAAAAGATAAATAACATTGGCTTTACTTTTATTTTCACTTCACACAATGTTACGATATTTTGCCTTTCGTAATAAAGTGGCTTTAAAAGCAACTGAGATTAGTTACTAAGCTACTAGACACTAATAAATCAGAAAAATCATAAAAAAGTATAAATTTCTTTTGTTGGAACTATTAAAAACTGATTATTAGTAATTTTCGAGTCCGATAAAACACTGTAGTATCAGATATTGTGTTACTTGTAAAACTTGTAAATCATTTGGAACGGGTATGTTTAGAAATGATATCGACTGACAAACTTTGCGAAGGTTTGGAATTCGTGTAATGTTGTGATATTGAGGAGGACTCGGTCTTTGAACTCATCATGCTGAAACAAAACCTGCAGGTGACAGAACTTTGTAAAATGGCAAACTGATGCTTGGCTATTTATCAAAATATTTATTAAAATAACATAGTTCAGTGTGAAAACGATTGAATCTCAAAAATACAGCAATAGAATTATTAAGAAACCAAAGTCGGGTGTGCTATTTTGCTAGATAACCGTTTAGGATTCAAGGTGTGGACCCGTTGTACTTGTACCCTTACCCTATAACCTCTCCTGGTGAAGTCCGCAAATCGTGGACTGTATTTCCCGAGTTTGTGGAATTTGCCGCGGCAAATTCTCTTATATGTGGATGGGTTTCTGGGAGTTTGTGTACGTAGTCACGTGACGGACAGGAGGGACTTTCTTTTTTTCACGAAAATGCATGCTGTGTGATTCATGAGTTCTGTTACATGATATCGTTGTGATATTTCGACATGAAAACAGATTTCACATGATAAAATTTAAAATTAAAATAGTTTGAATATATACAATTTGTTGCGATGAGCTCGCGACTACACGTGTTACCAGCGTTGCCATAATCCATTTTGCTTTTTTCAAGTTGATTTTTTGGCAGGAATTCGCTCAAATTGCGAGACACTTTTAAAAGGGACAATATTTGAAAGCTTGCGAATAAAAATTACATCAAGAATTTTGCACGGAACGAGATGAAATGATGCTTGCAATTTTGCGACCGCTTACGGCGAAGAGTCACGCGATATATGGGTGTAACACAGCAGCGTCTAAAGTCTGAGACAGGCGCACGATATGTCTAACTGAGAGTTCGTTTCCCTTTGTTGCCTTCTTAACTCCTTTGCGTGTATAATTTTTTTAGTTTTTTGCAGTTATTTGATAAGATTCGGAAAAAAAATCATGTCAAAGCGAACTCCAGAGGAAGCATTCCATCGCCAGTCCGTTGGTAGCACACTCAAAGAAGATTTTGACAAGGTGAGCTCAGTCTTCTGTGAAGTTTGTTCGCCTATATGAGACTGCAATCGTACATGTACAAACCCTGTTCGTCTTTTATTTTCAACTTTTGGCTATTGTTAAACGAGATTAAGTTCGGATTTTAGGCGCTGAAGAGACAAGAAAAACAATAGTCTCTCTAATTTGCTGTAAACAAGTATAAACACTTATGTTTTTAAGTGGGATTATTGCCGCCAAATTGATAATCACTTTATTGTTTATTATATATCGATATATTTACAATTGTATGGGACAAGATTGCAATACTTAATACTCGAAAAGTAATCAAATATCGTTGTTTATCTGCAAACTTATCAGCTCTTGAATTTCAGCCAAAATTATGTTGTAAGTGTTAAACTTCCAGGGGATCCAGGAGGGGGACCAAGAGGGTGGGGGGTAGGGGGTAGGGTGGTTTTCTACCCGTTCTTTATAATTACAAAATACTATATAATAACGGCAAACGAAAGAAGAAGTTCATCTGAATTAGACTCATTCTGAAAAAATAAAACTAAAGTAATGTTCACCTGACAAATCAAATCATCTCCATAGCCGTAAATCTATCCATGTAATTTTTTCTTAATGATTTAGCTAGTACACCCTCCCCGTCCCCCTTCCCCAAATAAAATTCTGGATCCATCGATGCAGCAGCTACCATTAATGGATTAATGGCAATATTTGTGTTTTCTTTCTCAGAAAGATGAACATCACTTCTCAAACTGGTTGTCTTTCATGCTGTCTTTGCCTCTCAGGAAAAGAATGTCCAAAGTTGATGTCTTTACCCAGTGGTCAGGGCTGGTGGGATATGTTCTTGCAGGGTTCCTAGCAGTATGCTTTCCTGTACAGCTTGCAATCCCCTTCAACTTACATCTTGGTCAGTATGGTAGTGGTTTGATAAGAGTAATGGGAATGCAGCTTTCAATAATAGGATTGTTCTACTGGGTTTTCACCAGAGCAAAGCCTAAGATCTCATCTGAATGCATTGCCCTTGGAACAACAGTTGAGAGAATATTCTACATTGGAATTGGTCTAATTTCCATATACAAGCACAATTTGATTCCTGCTATGCTTTTGGTGAGTGTAGCAGCTGTAGACACCACTCTGTCAGTTATAACTATTCTCATCTGGTCTAAAACTTCAAGGAATGCTTCATTGAAAAGCTACTTTTGCTCTGTTGGACAACTGATGTCATTTAGTTCAAAGTGGAATTACTCTTCACATGCAGTTCAAACTCTTGGCTTGCTGCAGTTTGTTGGTGCTATTTTTTTCCTTGTCTTCCCTAGCACAGCCAGTCAAGTGCTCCAGATAAACAACCTGGGTCCTCATGAAAGAGGGCTGTTCCTCGTTGCCATACTTGCATCAGGTGCCATTGGGTTTCTCAACTTAACCTCTGGTGGTGCCGACTGCAAGGCTTACAACATTGCTGTTGTGGTTTATTCAGTATGTTTGTCAATGCCACTGGTGGGATTTCTTGGTTTATTCTTACATCACATTCCCGTAGGCTTGGCCTGGTATCTACTTTGTTTGGATGGCATTGGGTTTGTTATAATTAACATAACACTCTGTATGGACTAGCAAAAGCTGCAAAACTTATAAAGGCTTCTAAAAGGTGGTTCTTTCCAGCATTGGAAGATTGATAGGCCACTACTTCTTGAAAAGTTGGAGAGGGGGATGGACATTTTCATTCTTATTGAGTTTACAAATTCAATGGAATTTTAATATTAACCCTTCATATATAATAAAATAAATGCCCATTTTTAAAAAAATTCTTCTTTTTACCTATATAAGATATATTAAAAAGTGATGAATAATTGTTAGTATTTCTCTAGAGTTTTCCAACTTTCTCATCTGATTGAAATTCAGTTTGATCCATTATCCCCGAGTCCTTGAAGTCCAATACATGAGTTCCTTACGAAAACAAACAAGAGTGATTGACACTTGATAGAGTCCTTTGTTAAAAAATCCACACGTTTTCTTGCCACTTCGTCTCGCGTCTAGCTAAGTTGAAACATGAGCGTTTACAACAAACATTCACCAATGAACGACATTTTGGTGAGAGGAGAGGAAGCCAGGCGCAGAAGATCGAAGAAACGGAGGCTACAACCCGACGAAATAACCGTAGATCCAAGCGTGCGTTTACGGCCGCATGAACACGTAGTTCAGGTGAGGGGTCGGGATTTACAAGTTATAATATATTCTACTAAATTTCCTCAGATCGGTGAGATTTCGCAATATTTTTAGCTGTTTTGTCCGGTTAGTAGCAATTACAAAGCTCAAAAACTCAAAGAAAAGCTAGAACATCGTACTTTGAATACATTTTCGCATGCACGGTTTCGTTTTAGCGCGCCATTTATCACATCCCCCTTCGTAATTGTTTCAAATCAGCTTGAAAAGTTGCAATTATAATCTCGTCATTTCCTTATCTAAATCCGCAATTTATTATGCTATTTTAGTGGTTTACGATCCAAAATAACAGACAGTATTATAGAAAGAAAGAAGTTGTTTTCAAGTCGACTGAAAGAAGTTGTTTTCTAAAAATAGTACGTGTATTTACTTCTTCCTCGAAAATCTCCTGGGTCAACACACAAAAACAAGTTTTGTTTTCGTTTTTCGATTGAAATTGCACGCATGCTTCAGTCGTTTTGTCTGACAGTAATTGAACAAATGACTTTTTCGGAAAAGATCAAAGAAATTGAAATCAGTGAACAATGTGTGAAGGATCGATTTTTCACAAATTAAATATATATTAGTACCCCCCGGGTAGGAGAAAGTGATTTACTAATTTTGCGGTATGTTTGGCATGGGAGAGAGTGTCAAGTATGAAATTGTGGTAGAATTATTAGAATTTCCTATGGGCACTAATTTGATTGTTATCATGTTCTAACTTTCACCTTAATCTCCCTTTTCCTACATGGTAAATTTTTTGTGTCGAGATACTATTCTTTTTGGCTATAATATTTTAGTCCATGAGGTTAGGGTTAAAATTTCTTTTAACTTCAATTGCCAATCCACAAAAATAGAGTGATCCCATGCATTTTATACAACAGATCCACAATAATGGTGGAAAATAGCTGGTAATAAACTAGTGTGAGCTTTGTCGATGTTTCTTTAGAAACAGTTGTGTAGTAAAAAAGTAGGTGAAACAACTTACTAATGTTTCAGACGTTAATCCTTGGTTAACCCTCCGATGAAGGATCAAAACGTCCGAAAAGTCAGTAAGTTGTTTCACCTACTTTTTTATGGTGTTAAATTTACCTTTTTACACAATTGATCCACAATAAGGTAATAATATATATATGATTCGTGATGAAATCGATTCCTGGTCCCATATACCATCCCACAAACGTGACCATGGAACATAATTTTGATAATTGAACTTGAAGCTTAACCAAATTTTCTACACTTTTATGATTACAGGAGACACCACACAGCAACTGGTTCCTGGAAATGATTTCTTACCCACGTCAAAAGCAATTATCAATGCTTGAATCGTTCACAGCTATATCTGCATTATCTATCTATTTCCCCTTAAACGTGTTTGTTCTTCTGTATCCAGTTCAAAGCTGCAGTTTAATTGACAACAAGTGGACACCYGAACAGTGTTTTCAAGCCAAAGGTTTTATAAGAATAACTGGGATTCAGGCCTGGTGCATTTTTTTCCTTTTGGTTATTCTCTCCCGAGCATCAAGTCGTYTACCTCTAACTGGCACTGTACTTGGCTCAGTACTCTCAAGGACAGTCTATGCCATATCTGCAGGCTATCTTCTGTACATACGCAAGTACATTTCACTCAATGTTCTCTTCCAAATAATAGCACTTGATTGTGGCCTTGCATTAATCTCAGTAGTAATCTGGTTA